TTAGCATGAGTGCGGAGAATTCGCGCACGTACTCCCGCACTGATCTGGTGTGGCGGAGTTCCCATAGCTTTCTCCTTGCATTGTATTCCACATTTTCGGGGAAGAATTGTAGGCGTATGGCTACCTTCAATTCATCCCATGTCTGGAGAGTATCTTCACCGGCCTTGATGGCTTCGTATTTGACTCACCACCAAAGTTTGGCATCGCCCTGAAGATACATGGCAGCAGTCGCTACCTTTTTGGATTCTTCCAAATGGCCCACGGCATCGAAGTATTGTTCGATATCGAAGATGAAGTTTTCCACTTCTTTAGCATCCCGGGATCTGTCGTATGGCTTTGGCTCCGGTATCTTAAGCTTTTGTGAAATGGGGGTGAGGTTTATTGCACCCCTGATGTGGTTGTTGCCTCCTCGAAGTGGGCTCTGTAGGGCAGCATTGACAACATTGAGCTTGCCTGTCAAGTCGTCTATGGTTTGCTGCATGGCAGTTAGTTTGTCTGCCTCTTGTTGCTAATGGTCTAAATCGTCGGCACGCTCCTATTGGAGGTCCTCAAATTTGCCATGAATATTGGTAGTTTCAATGGCTGTCGTTTGTCGGTCCTCGTCAGAGTCACTACTGATGTTTGCAATGTCATTTTCCGCATGCCGCATTCGGTGGTCCAGGTCGTCCAACCTTTGCACTAGGTTGTTGTTTTGATCAGGCACCATATCCACGATGGGTCGTAATCAGTCAACCGTCTCTTCTAGGGATGCTAGACGCTCCCCATGATTCACCATGGTCAGAAATGGTGATGATGGCAAATGTGTTCCCTCGTCCGATGTCGAGCCTAGGCTCTGATACCAACTGTTACGCAACGCCTTCCTGATGATCTTTGGAAGGGCAACGTAAGGCTAAGCAACCGATGTCAGTGCGGTTGCTGTCCGCCAATGAGGTCCTCGCCGCACGCTAGACTAGATTGTCAGTGCCGTGCGGGAAAACCAATGTCGTGGGCAATTGCGGAAGCTTGAGAGAGAATTGGGTTTTGAATGCTGATGATGATTTTATTGATGACTGAAAATGATGATTACAATGATGTGGTGTCGAGGGGGAGAGACACCAGAAAATGCTGATTGAAATGTTTGATTGTTTGGTCCCCCTTAATAATGCTTAAAAAAAATAAACCAACATTACAAGACTAGTCCTAATAAAGCTGTAGAAGCACACTGAAATGAAAATGATGAAAACTAGTCTATGATTACAATGAAAAGGACTTAGATTATTACAAGGAAAAACTAAGT